TTTTCTAGGTGTTTCTGCACCAGTGCAATATTGGACCATTTTCAGACGGTTTATTTTTTCTTCTTTTTGTCGGGCTCTTATAAATTTCCAAATGTAGGGTGAATAGCATTTAATATGGACGAAAAACCATTATGCCATCCATCTACTGAATTATTAGTTTTTAGAAGGTTATATTCATCAGCATAGCAATTCCAAATTGTAATTGAAAATTTTGGATTTGTCCTTTTCCCGTTCCTGTCCATTTTACCAACCCACGTTTCTTCAAAATAGTCAAGTAATCTCGATAAATCAGATTCCAGTTCTCGGTAAAAAGGAGTATCAACTAAWTATTCAAAATATCTAACAACATAATCAACCGGAACATATGCCAAGGCATTTAATTTTTTTATTTCAAAAGCGAAAGTAGAATCTTCTTTACATTGTTTAGATAGACCACATTCTTGAATGTGTCTCCAGACAGATTGAGCAAAGTAAAAATGACAACCACGAATTTTGATATCACTGAATTCTTTTTTGAAAGCAGTCATTGCACCAATTTCAAAATCTAACATGACCGTTTTTGGTTTTAAGTTGCAGTTTAATGTTTTTAGACTTTGAAACAAACGAATAAATGTTTTCTTTTTTTATTTGGTAAGAGTGCATAAATCGAAGGTAAGACGTTTGAACATTGTATTCCAAGAATAGCATACAATTGTTTGAAAATAGATGGGGCACATGAAAATGTGCCATCTGCATACCAATGATCGCATTCGGACATTTTTTGCAAATTTTCGTCCGTGGAAAATAATAAAAATCTATCGCAGTTATCTGGGTCATGATCGAAAGAATCAAAAAGTAAAAATGACTTACCATCTGATGTTTTTTATACTCTTCTGGTATAACAAGATCAKATAATGATTGCGGTATACCTGGTGCTGCATTTTCACGTTCTCTTACACGCAGAATAGTCCTTTTCATTAACGGTATGCCAGGCATTTGACCGGAAACTGCTGTATTTAACTAAAAATATTAAAAATTATATTAGGTTGTATAATATTATATTATATTAGAAAAATTAAATTATTATTTAARCAAATTGTATACATTACCTCTGAAGCAACAGTTGCTACAACAGATTGAGTACTTAGTTCTGTTTTCTTAGCAAGCTCCTTTAAATTTGCTATTGCTCTTATCGCTTCGATTTTGGCAATATTGGGAAAATGAACATRTGATATCTTGGTTACATCACTTAGAATGGAATTTTCATCTGTATGTATTCTGGCTTTACATTTTTTTTTTTTTTTAATTTTCAACACATTTCCATGTAGTTTTTTTATCATTCTTACTTTCAAAACRATATAAAAAACCATCATGCATGAGCATATCTTTTYCTCTTTCACTTTTAACAAAATTTAGAGGCATATTAATTATTTTATTTTTTATTTTTTATTAACTCAACTACTTATATAATTATTAGCACAAGACTACACCGTCTATCACAGTCAACTGAAATTCGTGCACAGACAAAATATTACACACTATAGATGAAACATATTATTTTTATTCCAGATAAAGATCATCCGATAATAGTTGTTATCGTAATATAATATAGCCTGTAATAATGATAGTTGTACATTTGCACACGCTGTTATTCAACTTATTATCGTAAAACGTTTTATAATGATTATTGTCCATTTGTACTTACATAATGTTTTTAACCAGTATTCACGTTTCGCGACGAAAATATACTACGACTATTTTACCAAACGACCAATTTCAGACGACCAATTTTACCACGACCAATTTTACCACGACCAATTGTATACGACCAATTGACGTAGATTCAATATTTTTTTAGTAATTATAAAAAATTCATCAAATGTTATGACTAATGTGGACAATCAAGTGATTTACTTGAAATTTTGCATTGAATTTTCAAGGTTTTTGGTAGAATATAAATTTCGAAAAATAGTAATTACGGTAGAAAAATCATTAGAACCTTATTTGAAATAAGACTTTTTAGTTATAACATATTCATACTTATATTATGTATAATATCAGGCCATGCATAGAATTAAACATTATAAACGCGTAGTTTTAAGTCAATATTTAATTATAATAGATTATAATAAATAACTAACAGTTATAACAGTTATTTTTTTATAGAGAATTGGAAAATAGAATACATATATCTAAAAAAAACAAATCACACTACATTTTAGAATCATATTGAATATAATATAAACCTAAGATTAAACTTTAAACATATTTATGATGAATATTATACATCGTGTAAAATTATATAACTATCTAAAATTAGATTAACTTACGTTGCTCTATAATAGACAGAGAATACCCGTTAGTAATAAATAAGTGTATAATAAACTTTATAATTATAACATATTCATCAAATGTTATGATTAAAGTGGAAAATCAAGTGA